TTGTGGGGTTGACAGGCTAGGTAGTCTAATCCCTTCCACCTGGAGAGCTCGGGGCTGTGGTAGTGCACTTTTTATTTATGTTCTTGTGCTCAAGACTTGCCACACCGTCCAAAGTGTCATCCAGATGAGGAGGTTCAACAACAAGAAAAACAATCTATATACTATATACATAGTTATATATATATAATCAAGATTGAATGTTTTGATCGTACCATGGTTGCTCACCATACACAAGCATGCCTTCTGTTTATCAACATTATTGCAAACATGTATATATTCATTTTATTTGTATGTGCTTAAAGATTTCAACAGTTATTTAGAATGATTGAAGCTTCAAATTTAACATTCTTTTATGAGTGCTAAGAAGGCTTCAACATGGATATTCCCTTTGCATTTGCTGTTTGTGTGACATACTCACCAAAACACACACTATATGACTAAAGTTACTCTACTTGGAGTGATTTTTAGCCTGAAAGGCAACTTGGAAAAAGGCAGGGCACATGTATTGACAGACTAACCTAACCAAGGCAGACGTGCGGATTAACACAATGTTCTGGCATCAAGTTTGGTTTGCACTCGAAGTAAAGTAATATAATGTAATATAAAGTAATGGAGGTCCGAGAGTGCCCACTGCGATTTGGAGCTTACTGTTGAGGCCCGGGTCTGGAGCTTGCTGTTGAGGCCGGGAGTTCCCCCGTGCTTGCTGCTGAGTCCGGTACTAGTAGTGCCCACTGGGATCTAGCGCTTGCCCACTGCGAACTGCGATTTTTGTACTTGCTGTTGGCTGTGATCTGGAGCTTGCTGTTGAGATCCGGCAGTGCGCACTGCGTATGTTCGCTTTCTGTTGAGGTCCAGTAGCGCCCACTGGGATCTGGCGCTTGCTGTTGGTCCCGTCAATGTCTAAGGAGCAGATCCTGAGACATGGACGTGTTGTTTCGCACCTGTCAAGTGAGGGGTGTTCGATTTTAGGAGAGGATCTCGCCGCTCCTTCTCTCCTCCTCGCCCCCGGACCTCAACAGCCAGCTCCAGATCGCAGTGGGCACTCCTGGCCCTCGACAGCAAGGTCCAGGCTCACAACTAAAAAGTTTGAAAGGTCATGTCACGATGCCACACGGCATGGCGAAACCTCGGTGGAAAGTGCATTTGCTTGGGTGCATAAGAATGCGGCGTGTCGCTGGTGAGGGGCACGGCTGGTGGTGATTCCAATGGGTGGGTGGTGAGGGTGGGTACTTATATAGCTTAAAGAGATTCCCTTCAGAATGACGTGGCGGCATTCTAGCAGTATAGAAGGTAGGGGTAGCATTTACGAACCGTTTGTTATTTGGGTGATGCTTTAAATTTGCATTCGGGATCAGATACGTCCCGCGTAAAGGATACTTTCCTCGGTGTAGTGGAAAGGCAGCCTTGCTATTTTGGCGGCGGCTCGTAGGCCTAAGAATCTAAGAGCAAACAACGGCACCGCGTGACCTGGGAATTGTTGTTTAGTTTTGATTCTAAGTTGTTTCAATGGTGTTGCACCCATGCCAAAGCGCCTATCTCAATGCCAGAGCCCTTGGACGTGTCATGCAGCAGTCGAGTTCGGCCGAGGCCGTACATCCTTAGCAAGGTGCACAGGGTATCCTATGGCCTTTTGACCCTTCGCTGGACTTGGTTCATGTTTATATATTGGAAGGAATGAAAGCGCATATCATATTCAAATATATTCAAACAAATTCTGAGGAAGGAACACCGTACAATAGTTTTGATATACTAGTCCTTTTAATTTGTCCATATTGTGTCAATGTAGTTTCTTGTGATTTTGAAGATTGATTCCATCACAGACCTGGGGCAAAATAAACTTTCCATCAGTCCAAAGAGTGTTCGACAAACAATTGGAATCCTGTCGTGGAAAGGGATATAGGGGCGCTTGGAAGTTTTTCAACACGAGTTAGTTCAAGGACCGGACGCACCCTAGAGCTTCACCGTGGAGCTTTCATGCGGCAGTCGCGAAAGCTCTTGGCTGTTCCTTTCATTGGCAAGGAGATTCGTCAAATTTCAATCTTTTGTGTAAAGCAGTAGTTTTGAAACCCGAGACGTATTCAATTGGACATACATTGGAAGAGCGTAATTGAAACACGTTCGGTCTTAAAACTTGAAACGCACCAAACAACAAGTTGAGGCTTGTGAGTTGCAGGATGCACCCAGCACATCCTCGGAGTTTTCGCATCCGGACGTAGCCATTGGCCGGGGCCCCCAACGCTTTTCGAGGGGCAGAGAGAGGCCATTGCCTCGTTTGAGTTTGCAAGAACTTCCAGTCAAGATGCATTGCCAAGATGTACCAATTGGGATTTCTTCTCCTCAACCTCGCACTTGAATCAGCACCAGAAACATGATTCAAAAGTTCTTGTGAGATTGCATGTCCGCGAGGCTTCACCATCCTCTCATACCGTTTACATGGCCTTCGTGAGCGAGACGTCGACACCTCAGTCAGAGATTTGATGCCTCCATGTCTCAAACAGGTGTTATATATATGATAAGGCTGGACTATTTATGTACATCTATTTACTTACCAATCCTTGAACTTAATGTCTACCTGTGATTAACCATTAACATGTGCCCACCACGTAACACAATCAGAAGACTTTGATTCAGGGTGAATTTCAATTGGGAGTTTACTAAACTATATAACAATCACAACAGTTTTGAGAACTGTTGTCTTTATCAACGGGCGTTTTGTTGATCATGTGAACCTTCTGATAGTGTTGCTGGTGAGGCGTACCGCAATGTACCTTTTAGCCAGGCCAAGTGACATATACAGATTATAGATGATTATAGACATATATAGAAGGTGGCTCTTCTACATACACTTGAGACAACAAGTTTGTAAGTTCTAACATGACCATATAGAGGTGGATTCCAGGAGGCCCTTGAAGTCAAGGGAATGCTGACCCTTCCACGTCTCCCTTCTAATAGGCTTTTGCAGAGGATTCTGCGGATTTAGCTCGCGGCCGGGTCCGGTTTCATCTGTTGGAATTACACCCGTCGCTAATGATCCACCGCAACAAAGTTCTCAAAGGTAAAAGATGTAGCCTCGGTGCATGCGACAAGACCTACAGCTTTTTGTCCTCGCGGTGGATTACCAAAGGTAGCTTTTCGTCCATCACCAGCAATATTTACATACAACTTTTGTCCCGGCTCATGCGATGCCCGGATTTACGATGATGGCAGGGTTGAGATGCGTGAAGGATCCAGAAGGCACAGTCATGGTGCACGCACTGGTTGTAAGGTCCTTACCTTGCTCAACGTGCTGCTTGACGAGATGAGAGCAGAAGCTTGTCAACGCATTTGATATGTGCTGTTCCAGTTTCCAGGACGTTCCCGTATGATGCAGTCTAAAGAAAGGAAGAAAGGCAACCACTATATAGATATTATGTTTGGAACTCGTGCAGAGCCACACGTTAAAAGTCTGAACTAATCAATCACTATCCCAGTACAATCCTTGCTGCTCACATCTTCTTTAGTAGACCTCCCATTGGCTTAGAGACTGGCGCCATGTTTGACAGGATGGTACCATTATGGCACGCTGAAGTGCATATCTTTGCTCAATTTGACTATGACCAAGGTCCAAAATCATACTTGCAAACGCGTGTTAAGAGCCAACCTTGTCGTCAAGCTTTGATTTATATATCTACTTGAAGGACCTGACTTGACTTATTGGATTCCTGCGCCAGCCTACGCCGGGTGCGGCTGCAGCCATCAAAGTCAGTCTTCGGACGTGCTGGGGGGGGGCAGGAAGCCCATCCGAGCCATCCGTCAGGGTCCTGGTTTCTTGCTTTAGCCTGAGGAGAGCACCCTTTCCTTTCATCGCCGAGCTGCATGTCAGGCACGAAGTATGGTGGATCACCAAGATAACTGTTCACCAGACGTTGGATGCTACAGCTATCTGGATGCACTGCTTGACTGGGCAAGGCCTATGTGGCCATGGTTGTTCGTGCTGGAAGCAGGGTGCGCGGATTCACTGAGGAGTAGTGCGCTGGGTGCCACTTTGCAAAGTCGTTTTTACTTCATTCATATAGTTGGTAGTTTTTGCACGCTTCGGTCCATTGTTTGTGCCATGTCGCACAAACTGGGCATTATTTGCCTATGACTATGACATACTATGACCACATGAGTGTACTCAAGAGGTTGACTGAAAAATTGTAGGTGTCCAGCTGAGTGCCTGCAGTGAATGCAGACTGACTGTCAGTTTAGCAAGCAATTGTTCAGAATATTGTGTGGTTCTCCTGATGCTTTTGATGAACTATAGAACAGGAGCACACCTTTGAGTGTTGGCCCTATTGTCAGGATGGAAGATGGGTAGGTGATGCAAAGGAAGATCTAAAGAAGTCCAGATCGCTTGAGCCTTGGAAGGTGGCGACCAAAACCGTCAGTGGAGTTACGCTGTCTCTAGTGCTCTCACCCCTGTACTGCTTTGGATGAGGACCTCCTCGAGGAAATATACAAGTGGAAAAAGCCTTCGTTTGACGTGTTGCTTTTTGCATGTGTTTTTAGCACATGTTGTCATCAACAAAGGCGAAGACAGACGTCGGTTGGGCGATGGGAAGGTGGGGCCCAAGAGAGAGATACAAAGGGAGGGAGCTAGCTAGTGGGTATGTATGTTGTGAGGCTGCCGAAGCAGTACGACATGCTCAACGGTGTTGCAAGCTACAATGCAACATCATAATTACGGCTTGTTATGTTTACATCCACATACAATAACTGTTCAATAACTATATAGGTAGATCCATGCGGGGGTACCATCGAGAGACGAAATAAGCTACAATTGGTGTTGTCATGGCTTGCAGTCACCGGTGCTGAAAAGACAGGCAGCAGCGAAGTTGCAGACAGGCTAGGGCAGCCACAGCTTCGCCGCTGAAGACTGAAATGTCGTGAAAAGCTAAGTCAAGTCATGCTGAGCGCGAAGTCAGGATGGGAGTTCTTTGGATCCTGTATACTTGCAGTTTGCAGCACGCTTTGCTTGTAGTCGTGCTCTATATATAGCTCGGTAGCAGGAGCTTCCGAGCGACAAATGAACACTTTTGCCCGATTGTGGTTGCTAGGAGGCGGAGTCTTTGGCCATTAGAACTGCTTGACATCTCTGACCCCGAGCCAGGATCCTCAGGAAATCCAACAGATTCATTTTCTATCAAGAGATGACACAGTGACTATGTCGACTTTGGTCTGTAGTGTTGGAGTCCTCAGCTTGCTTTTGCTAAGCAACTGCGTAATTGCATTTTTACATTTTCAGTTTGCTGCACCTAGTTGCACTAGCTGCAAGGCAAATCCAAGTGGTCTTTGATATCTTGCGTTTTTCGCCTTTGGCCATCCGCCATTTGCCATGCGCCTAACCAGATGTGAACATTACGGAGATAAGCATTGACCTCGTCAAAAGCAGTTTCAGTGGAAATGCCTTACAGCATGTTATTCGATAGCAGATGCAGTCGACCTAGGTTGGAAAAGCATGTTTTTGTGGCCTGAGCCAAAGATGTGATGCAGAAAGTTCAAAGATGGCAGAATGCCACAACAGCGGCATGAATAAAATACACTTCATGTGTTCAAGTGTGTTGCACACCCGCTTAGTCTGGAACACTGGACCGGAACGAGATGCAACTCAGTGCATCTGGGCAGGAGAGGGTTTGCGGATGTTTGCGGTATTTTGATGTTTTCCTTATTAGAAACAAGTGCCTTACTAGTAGTAACAAGTGCTTTACTACTAGTAACAAGAAGCTATTTGAAACTTGTTACTAGTATAGTAAGGCACTTGTTACTAGAAGCGATGCACTTGTTACTAGTTGCTTCTTGCTCCTATATAGTAGTAATGATCATCATGTACGGACTTTTCAACTGAGCATTCTGTCCAAGCTGTCACCCGCTGCCCATGTGTTAATCCCAATCTGTTATATAGTTCCTTGGCCCTCAACAGTAGCACGTCACGTCACATGCAGCAAGAATCTTCTGGGTCTTGTTTGTCTCTTCAAATACCACAGAAAAGCCGCAAAGAACGTCACAAGAATGAAAGTATATATACAGTAATATAATTAGCCCATTGAGCATTGGTTCCGCGGTTCCTATTCTGTTGCTTTTGTGGGTGGCGGAACTATATGTGCAAGGGCCAAAACACGCGATCAAGAGTTCTTTGCATAAGTCGTCATGGAATGTCTATGAATGTGCTCTTCTTTGAAAACGATGGTAACCCTGAAAAACGATACCAGACAAGTTCATTCCCCGGATAGCGTGAGCTATCGGGGTTCTTATTTCAAGTATATAGGAAGAGCTGCATGTGTGTATGTTCCCGTTCGAGCCTGGGTGCCGGTGCCACTGCAGGGTGCCGCTGCACGGGGTTGGGATGCTGCTGCGACATGTTTTGGCCCTGTGCGCTTTGAAGCCCGAGTGCCACCGCTGGAGGCGCTACCGGGTTGCCCTGCGGAGTGCGGCTGCAGGGTGCTGCCCACGATTATTTTTTGCTTTCTTGGGTCTATGCTGGCATGATTGATTTCATTCACAGGTATGTATTGCCCGCTAACAAGTTCATTTGTTATGGCAAAAAAGGCAGATATGCAAGAACGATGCCCAACACGATGCTTTTGGATACCCCAAACAATACCAGAAAACATCAAACATAGGGAACAAACACCCCATATCCAGGGTCGCCCAACACAACTTTTATCCAGATAGCGCGAGCTATTGGGGGCTTTATATAGTTCAAGTATAGGAACAGGTGTTTGTGCGCTTTGGAGCCTGAGTGCACCATGCAGCTTTGGATCCTGAGTGCACCATGCAGGGTGCCGCTGGCAGATGTATGGTTGCGTGCGCTTTTGCTGGTGGTGCTGCAGGGTGCCGCTGCCAGATGTGTGCCCGTGTGCGTGTTGGAGTTTGGGTGCTCTTGCTGCAGGGTGCCGCTGTTGCCGCTGTTATGGTGCTGCCTACTCGTGTCTTTGCTGGCGTAAACGCAAGCCCGCAGCTTTCAGGAGAACAAAGCCAATAAGCCAATCGAAGGGACTTCCCATCAAGCATTCGATGCACATATCATGAATTAGCCAAAATAAGCTCCGCACTGTGTGAAACGATGGGATCCCTGAAAAACGATACCCTGGCCTTACCACACAAAATGAGTCATGATCGTCGCACATATAGGTTCTGCCAAGCCAGTTTCAACTCAGTTTGCAGGGCTTGCAGTTGTTGGACGTGAAAGCACTGGATTCAAGCTAGATCCCAAAATGCTTATGGTTGGCTCAACCTGAACCAATCCTCAGGAGCTTGCAGGGTGGGATGCTCAACCTGGACGGGAGACTGGTTGGCCGAGGGCATGAAGATTGCTGCAGTTCTTCGATTTTACTGACTGTGCACTGCATCATGTGGCCAAGCATGAACATTTGCTTGAAGATGCCTAACGGAGCCTACTCAAGGCGATCATATAAATATAACTTTCTTGATTCTGGAGCTTGTATGATGGTTCACTTGACCTGCTAGTACTGGCTCAGATGCACAACGTCGGGATGTTCCTTTTTTTCTTGCTGGTGGTAGTTGGTGCCTCTCCCCGCAGAGTAAGGATATTATATTCATTGGATCAGATCAGACCTGATCAGATGTCCTCGACTCCCCTGATTCGCTTGCCTTGTTTTTTGTTACAGCCCCAACAATTCCAAGGCCCCAGCTATTTGGTCGATGCCTGGGTTTCAGCGGCACGCCCAACGATCTCTTGCTACTCAGCTGAGGGAACCTAATTAGGTTTCAGGCGATATGGGGCAGTGGGTGGGTCCTGGGCATAAGCTTGCTGCACGAGGGCGAACACTCCCATTTGTTGTCAGATGCTGCAGAACATGAGAGCTTCAACAACGCAAAAAAGATGCAGTCCTAAGGTCCTAAAGTCAAGCAATAAGTCAAAAAATACTAGCCCAAAATGTAATGGGAACCTCTTGTGCATGCAGAGGCACTCAAGGCCGAAGACTTACGTTTTTGACTCTTTGCAGTGCAAACGGGCTGCTATGCATATCTATGCATGAGTTTTTGGGGGTTGCCATGTGCAAGGCTTTGGTCCCAGCAAACATTGAAGCAAAACACAACCATACACAACCAAACATTTGCCCAAACCTTTTTGCTTTTCCCGGCAGCATCTTGTGCTGTTTCCCGACTTTGCCAAGGCCGAAATCCATGGGTCGATGCATCTATGCTGCCGGCGATGACGGGAAGGTGCTGCAGGTGCGAGTTTCATGGGCAGACTGGGGGAATGACAAGACGGACTTGGAATTGAATGTCATTGCACCATATTGCACCCAGAATCCTTGTTCCATATGCACACCGGGGATCAGGCAGTTGCATGATTAAAGCAGAATCACTTGGAACGCATACAGCATACAGCTATATACAGCTGCTTCTTTTGAATCGCGGGCGCCAATGACAGTTGAACTCCGGCCTTTGATCCTTTTCAAAGTAAACCTCCTCCATGCCACTGCAAGTTTGGACAACTCACCATGGCACAGGGAGGCACTTTTCAGCCTCATCCCAGGTTCCCACGTGTGGTTTGAACGCACTACAACAGCGCATCGCACCACGCCAAAGAACCTAAGACTAAGACCTAAGTGAGCAACGTCCGTCATAAACCTCTATGAAAGAATTTAGGTAGGACTTAAGATTATGAATCTTTGCGAAAGGAAAACTGCAGTTGGGGAAAGCTTGGCGAAAGGTTTGGAGAAAGGCTCTGAATTGTCGATGAAAGGATTTTGTTGCGAAAGGGTTGGTGAAAGAGGTTTTCAGTACAAAGCATGTTATCCAAAGTTTCCTGATTACCAGGCGAAAGGTTCGCGAAGATGTAGCGAAAGCAGTGGTTGCAGATTGCAGATTAGGAATGATTCCACTTTTGCTGATACTGTTCTTAGATGTAAGTAGCAGAAACTCGACTTATCAAGTCGAAGTTCCAGATCAAGACCTGCCAAATCATGACGGTCAGAGCGAGCAAACAACGATCCAACTCGCACTTGCAGACCTGAGAACCTTCATGAGTGGAGAATAGCTACGGCTCACAAGGTGAAAGGAGATACTCAGTCAGATGTCCAGATACACAGTTGGATGTCCCCAACAGTTTCCCCTCCTGAGAGGTATTTAGCCTTCTGCTAGACAAATCATGGATAGAGTCCCCAAAGCCAAAAGGTTCAACAGACATCACCGTGCAAAAACAACCTGGAGTCCAAGGTTCGCACACACTTGAGAAGGTTGCTCCGTGGAGCGCGATTTCAGGCTGCTT